CCCAACGGCCGGCCGTTCAGGCCCATGACCAGAACTGGCTCGGAGAGAGAGAGTAATGGAACGCTCCACCTGGGAGCCGGTCTCAAGTTTCCGGGTCACCGAACCACAGCTGGCCCGACTGCAGTGGCGGCCCCTGAACCTGATGGGGAGAAAGTCGGGAATCTTTGGTGGGGTTCAGTTCCGGATCCAAGAAACTCCGATCTAGCGAGCCCCCCCCCGGATTACCGGCAGGGGAGTGCAGTGGTGACCAAGCGTGGCCGACCAGAACGCTCAAGAAGGCAACGTCCCTGGGTCAGCCCTGCTCTAAATTCCTGGTCAAACACCAGCTGCATAGCCTCCTCCTGAGGCGTCTCCTCCCTGAATCGGCGGAAAGCCTACGGGGTGATAGGGAGACGCGGAGGCGAGCCTTGCGTCATGCCTCTCTCGTACGCCCTCTCACGACACCGATTGTCCACCCGCACCAAAAGGTTGACGAGGCCGTCCATTCGCTCAAGCAACTCCCTGAAGGAGAGTTTGTCCTTCATCCCCCCCCGATAGCCCCTGCGCGTACAGTACGACCAGGGCGGCCGCCTCCCATCCTACCTCTCGAGCCCAGGTATGGAACTCCATGGAGTAGTCCGCCACCGAACGGTCACCCTGCCGACAAGCCGTGAGCCGCCTCCCAGCCTCGTGCCCCAACACCACCCGAGGGGTATCGAACACCTTGCGTAGCTCCCGGGTGAACTGGTAGGAGTCGGAGCACGCCGGAGTTTGGCTCTCCCACTCTGCGGTAGCCTAGGAAAGGGCCCAACCCGTCAACAGAGTGATAATGTAGGCCACCCGGCCCTGCCCCGTCGGGAAGGAGGAGGGTTGTAGGCTTCCGCTCTGCCGGCTGCCGCGGCTTCCGCTCCGCCGGCTGCCGGGGCTGGTTGGGTGTCCACCTGGCTCTGCACGGCGATCGTCAGCTGGCAGAGATTCTCGTTGATCTGCTGCAGGCTGCGGTCGTCCTGATCCAGCATGGCTCCCTGCGCTGCCAATGCGCTATGATACTGTGCTGCCTCCGCTGGGTCCATATTGGCGGTGCAGGATAGACAGTAGGCAGTAGGCAATGATGGTGAAACAAGGATCTTTACTGGTGGTCCAAAAGCCAGGATACAAAACAACGGACTATTCACGAAAACAAATGAGGAGCACATAGGTCTCCTGTAACTCCGTCATGTGATCCAACACTGATACGTACTGCTTGACATCAAGGAACTAACAGAAAAAACTGAGCAAGGGAACACAGGGAAGTGAGGGCATAAATACACAAGTGAATCAGATAGACACAGGTAACACCAATTGGCAGATAATTAATCCCAACTGTGAGTGAGGAGGTGCCTATGGTTGTCAGAGGATGACACCTAGTGGGTCGCTCCGGAACTGCGACCCACACCTGTAACACAAGTCTGATATTACAGTTGAAGTCGGAAGTTTACATACACTTAGGTTGGAGTCATTAAAACTCGTTTTCCAACCACTCCACAAATTTCTTGTGAACAAACTATAGTTTTGGTAAGTCAGTTAGGACATCTACTTTGTGCATGACACAAGTAATTTTTCCAACAATTGCTTACAGACAGATTATTTCACTTTTAATTCACTGTATCACAATTCCAGTGGGTCAGAAGTTTACATACACTAAGTTGACTGTGCCTTTAAACAGCGTGGAAAATTCCAGAAAATGATGACATGGCTTTAGAAGCTTCTGATAGGCCAATTGACATAATTTGAGTCAATTGGAGGTGTACCTGTGGATGTATTTCAAGGCCTACCTTCAAACTCAGTGCCTCTTTGCTTGACATCATGGGAAAATCAAAAGAAATCAGCCAAGACCTCAGAAAAAACTCTCCTGAGTGGCGCAGTGGTCTAAGGCACTGCATCGCAGTGCTAGCTGTGCCACTAGAGATCCTGGTTCGAATCCAGGCTCTGTCGTAGCCGGCCGCGACCGGGAGATCCATGGGGTGGCGCACAATTGGTCCAGGGTAGGGGAGGAAATGGCTGGCAGGGAGGTAGCTCAGTTGGTAGAGCATGGCGTTTGCAACGCCAGGGCTGTGGGTTCGATTCCCACGGGGGCCAGTATAAAAAAAAAAAATGTATGCACTCACTAACTGTAAGTTGCTCTGGATAAGAGCGTCTGCTAAATGACAAAAAAAAAAAATATATATATATATTATATATACAGTGGGGAGAACAAGTATTTGATACACTGCCGATTTTGCAGGTTTTCCTACTTACAAAGCATATAGAGGTCTGTAATTTTTATCATAGGTACACTTCAACTGTGAGAGACGGAATCTAAAACAAAAATCCAGAAAATCACATTGTATGATTTTTAAGTAATTAATTTGCATTTTATTGCATGACATAAGTATTTGATCACCTACCAACCAGTAAGAATTCCGGCTCTCACAGACCTGTTAGTTTTTCTTTAAGAAGCCCTCCTGTTCTCCACTCATTACCTGTATTAACTGCACCTGTTTGAACTCGTTACCTGTATAAAAGACACCTGTCCACACACTCAATCAAACAGACTCCAACCTCTCCACAATGGCCAAGACCAGAGAGCCGTGTAAGGACATCAGGGATAAAATTGTAGACCTGCACAAGGCTGGGATGGGCTACAGGACAATAGGCAAGCAACTTGGTGAGAAGGCAACAACTGTTGGCGCAATTATTAGAAAATGGAAGAAGTTCAAGATTACGGTCAATCACCCTCGGTCTGGGGCTCCATGCAAGATCTCACCTCGTGGGGCATCAATGATCATGAGGAAGGTGAGGGATCAGGCCAGAACTACACAGCAGGACCTGGTCAATGATCTGAAGAGAGCTGGGACCACAGTCTCAAAGAAAACCATTAGTAACACACTACGCCGTCATGGATTAAAATCGACCATCTGGATGATCCAGAGGAGGAATGGGAGAAGGTCATGTGGTCTGATGAGACAAAAATAGAGCTTTTTGGTCTAAACTCCACTCGCCGTGTTAGGAGGAAAAAGAAGGATGAGTACAACCCCAACAACACCATCCCAACTGTGAAGCATGGAGGTGGAAACATCATTCTTTGGGGATGCTGTTCTGCAAAGGGGACAGGACGACTGCACCGTATTGAGGGGAGGATGGATGGGGCCATGTATCGCGAGATCTTGGCCAACAACCTCCTTCCCTCAGTAAGAGCATTGAAGATGGGTCGTGGCTGGGTCTTCCAGCATGACAATGACCCGAAACACACAGCCAGGGCAACTAAGGAGTGGCTCCGTAAGAAGCATCTCAAGGTCCTAGAGTGGCCTAGCCAGTCTCCAGACCTGAACCCAATAGAACATCTTTGGAGGGAGCTGAAAGTCTGTATTGCCCAGCGACAGCCCCGAAACCTGAAGGATCTGGAGAAGGTCTGTATGGAGGAGTGGGCCAAAATCCCTGCTGCAGTGTGTGCAAACCTGGTCAAGACCTACAGGAAACGTATGATCTCTGTAATTGCAAACAAAGATTTCTGTACCAAATATTAAGTTCTGCTTTTCTGATGTATCAAATACTTATGTCATGCAATAAAATGCAAATGAATTACTTAAAAATCATACAATGTGATTTTCTGGATTTTTGTTTTAGATTCCGTCTCTCACAGTTGAAGTGTACCTATGATAAAAATTACAGACCTCTATATGCTTTGTAAGTAGGAAAACCTGCAAAATCGGCAGTGTATCAAATACTTGTTCTCCCCACTGTATATATCAAAAAAATACAAAATTGTACTCTACAAGTCTGGTTTATCCTTAGGAGCAATTTCCAAATGCCTGAAAGTACCACGTTAAACTGTACTAACAATAGTACGCAAGTATAAACACCATGGGACCACGCAGCCGTCATACCGCTCAGGAAGGAGACGCGTTCTGTCTCCTAGAGATGAAAGTACTTTGGTGTGAAAAGTGCAAATCAATCCCAGAACAACAGCAAAGGACCTTGTGAAGATGCTGGAGGAAACAGGTACAAAAGTATCAGCAAGGAAGAAGCCACTGCTCCAAAACCGCCATAAAAAAGCCAGACTACGGTTTGCAACTGCACATGGGGACAAAGATCGTACTTTTTGGAGAAATTTCCTCTGGTCTGATGAAACAAAAATATAACTGTTTGGCCATAATGACCATCGTTATGTTTGGAGGAAAAAGGGGAGCCGAAGAACACCATCCCAACCGTGAAGCACGGGGTGGCAGCATCATGCTGTGGGGGTGCTTTGCTGCAGGAGGGACTGGTGCACTTAACAAAATAGATGGCATCATGAGGAAGGAAGATTATGTAGATATATTGAAGCAACATCTCAAGACATCAGTCAGGAAGTTAAAGCTTGGTCGCAAATAGGCCTTCCAAATGGACAATGACCCCAAGCATACTTCCAAAGTTGTGGCAAAATGGCTTAAGGACAACAAAGTCAAGGTATTGGAGTGGCCATCACAAAGCCCTGACCTCAATCCTATAGAAAATGTGTCGGCAGAACTGAAAAAACGGGTGCGAGCAAGGAGGCCTACAAACCTGACTCAGTTACACCAGCTGTCAGGAGAAATGGGCCAAAATTCACCCAACTTATTGTGGGAAGCTTGTGGTAGGCTACCCGAAATGTTTGACCCAAGTTAAACAATTTAAAGGCAATGCTACCAAATACTAATTGAGTGTATGTAAACTTCTGACCCACTGGGAATGTGATGAAAGAAATTAAAGCTGAAATAAATCATTCTCTCTACTATTATTCTGACATTTCACATTCTTAAAATAAAGTGGTGATCCTAACTGACCTAAGACAGGTAATTTTTACTAGGATTAAATGTCAGGAATTGTGTAAGACTGTATTTGGCTAAGGTGTATGTAAACTTCCGACTTCAACTGTATGAGATTGCAGGTACATTTCCTAAGTGCTTATTTAGTGAATATAGTGAGATAGAATCCCACAGGTTCGGTCATTTGAGTGTAATTCATCTCCATGTGTTTTGTAGGTGTGGGTAGATGCTGCGGCTCAGATCTTCTTCTCCCTGGGGCCAGGCTTTGGGGTGCTCCTTGCCCTCTCCAGCTACAACCCCTTCACAAACAACTGTTATCGGTAAGCGCTAATACTAAAACTTCCTTGAATAATAGTAAATACACACTTCAGAATTTTTTTTGTACAGAAGTATTTTTTTTTTTTTATGTACAGTGGGGGAAAAAAGTATTTAGTCAGCCACCAATTGTGCAAGTTCTCCCACTTAAAAAGATGAGAGAGGTCTGTAATTTTCATCATAGGTACACGTCAACTATGACAGACAAAATGAGAAAAACAAGTCCAGAAAATCACATTGTAGGATTTTTTATGAATTTATTTGCAAATTATGGTGGAAAATAAGTATTTGGTCAATAACAAAAGTTTCTCAATACTTTGTTATATACCCTTTGTTGGCAATGACACAGGTCAAACGTTTTCTGTAAGTCTTCACAAGGTTTTCACACACTGTTGCTGGTATTTTGGCCCATTCCTCCATGCAGATCTCCTCTAGAGCAGTGATGTTTTGGGGCTGTCACTGGGCAACACAGACGTTTAACTCCCTCCAAAGATTTTCTATGGGGTTGAGATCTGGAGACTGGCTAGGCCACTCCAGGACCTTGAAATGCTTCTTACGAAGGCACTCCTTCGTTGCCCGGGCGGTGTGTTTGGGATCATTGTCATGCTGAAAGACCCAGCCACGTTTCATCTTCAATGCCCTTGCTAATGGAAGGAGGTTTTCACTCAAAATCTCACGATACATGGCCCCATTCATTCTTTCCTTTACACGGATCAGTCGTCCTGGTCCCTTTGCAGAAAAACAGCCCCAAAGCATGATGTTTCCACCCCCATGCTTCACAGTAGGTATGGTGTTCTTTGGATGCAACTCAGCATTCTTTGTCCTCCAAACACGACGAGTTGAGTTTTTACCAAAAAGTTATATTTTGGTTTCACCTGACCATATGACATTCTCCCAATCCTCTTCTGGATAATCCAAATGCACTCTAGCAAACTTCAGACGGGCCTGGACATGTACTGGCTTAAGCAGGGGGACACGTCTGACACTGCAGGATTTGAGTCCCTGGCGGCGTAGTGTGTTACTGATGGTAGGCTTTGTTACTTTGGTCCCAGCTCTCTGCAGGTCATTCACTAGGTCCCCCCGTGTGGTTCTGGGATTTTTGCTCACCGTTCTTGTGATCATTTTGACCCCACGGGGTGAGTCCTCTGTAGCTCAGCTGGTAGAGCACGGCGCTTGTAACGCCAAGGTAGTGGGTTCGATCCCCGGGACCACCCATACACAAAACTGTATGCACGCATGACTGTAAGTCGCTTTGGATAAAAGCGTCTGCTAAATGGCATATTATATTTTATATTATTAGATCTTGCGTGGAGCCCCAGATCGAGGGAGATTATCAGTGGTCTTGTATGTCTTCCATTTCCTAATAATTGCTCCCACAGTTGATTTCTTCAAACCAAGCTGCTTGCCTATTGCAGATTCAGTCTTCCCAGCCTGGTGTAGGTCTACAATTTTGTTTCTGGTGTCCTTTGACAGCTCTTTGGTCTTGGCCATAGTGGAGTTTGGAGTGTGACTGTTTGAGGTTGTGGACAGGTGTCTTTTATACTGATAACAAGTTCAAACAGGTGCCATTAATACAGGTAACGAGTGGAGGACAGAGGAGCCTCTTAAAGAAGAAGTTACAGGTCGGTGAGAGCCAGAAATCTTGCTTGTTTGTAGGTGACCAAATACTTATTTTCCACCATAATTTGCAAATAAATTCATTAAAAATCCTACAATGTGATTTTCTGGAATTGTTTTTCTCAATTTGTCTGTCATAGTTGACGTATACCTATGATGAAAATTACAGGCCTCTGTCATCTTTTTAAGTGGGAGAACTTGCACAATTGGTGGCTGACTAAATACTTTTTTTCCCCACTGTATGCAATTTGGCAGAAGCTTTTATCCCAAACGCTTTGGCTCAATTATGCCTAACTCTTTGTGATAACCTTCATGAAAAAGCATTAAATTAAATATTTATATACTATTATTAAATAACTTTAATTATTTTTTAACATTTAGAAACGTATATAGCCTAAGCCTTATTAGTCATAAGCATTTAAAATATATAAACCACTTATAAACATGTATAATGGATTATTCATTAAATGTAATATAAAGTGTTACTCAATCATTTGGGTCATTTGCACACAACACACCTGGAGAAATGGGAGACTTTGATAAATTAAGCTACAGTATATCTGCTTGTATTCACATATGCCATTTAGCAGACGCTTCGAGGCAACTTACAAAAGGGTGGCCCAATTGGGAATCAAACCCACAAACCTGCCATTGCTAGCACCACACACTACCAACCGAGCCACACCTGTGAGAGCATATGAAACTGTCAACCACATCAATCACCTCCAAACAATTAAAAAGTGAAACCCAGTATGACTCAGAGGAGGTAAGCTTGTCCAGGGTGGAAGAGGTAGTTGCTCCTCCTCCTGAATGCCCCACACACCAGTGAGGTAGACCTGTACTGTAAGGCTGGATCTCCACAATAGCGTTTCCAATCTTTCTCACAAAAGGCCGTCATGCATTGACATCCAGTGACAAAAACATGTGTCTCGGGCAGGCTAACTATAGCTCTCACTTTTATACACATCAGCCCCGTGTAGGAGGGGAGGGAGGAAACATCGGCCAATCACAGGGATTTATTTACGATGTGTTGAATAGATGGGCTCAAACGGATTTCCCACAGCAACTCTTTAAGACAATGTCATTATAATTAGGAGGAGGGAGTGGTGAGTCCAGCGTCGTGGGAGATGAATGGGTGACGGGGCTCTAAAAAGGAGAAATTGAATTGTAAGCTCCCCGTAAGACGGCTGGCGTGTGCGTGGTTAATGTGGTTAATAGTGTAAAAGTGGTACAAGTGAGGAAACAGTGGCACTGCTGCTTCTCAGAGACATTCATGAATCACACAGAATGTGAATGGTCTTACTCTTACTGACAGGGTTATCCTAATGAATGCCCACCCCATAGAAATAAAAAATGGCATTTAGAATACTGTGTATCTCAATGGTCCACTGTCTATGTTTGCTTGCTGGCTAGCGAGCTTGGTCAAGAACATGTCTGACAAAGGTAATCCATTTTGTGGACAGTTGCCCCATTTACAAAATCTCAATGTAATGACTGTTCACAACCAAACAAGAGTAAGGTATATGAATGACAATACTTGTGATGATCAGACAGGCACCATATTTGCCTCTATGTTGTGACGCTGTAGTGATGCCATAGTGACCAGCCTGGTGAACTGCCTGACCAGCTTCATGTCTGGGTTTGTGATCTTCACTATGCTGGGGTACATGGCAGAGAAGAGAAATGTGAATGTGGAGGATGTAGCCAGAGACAAAGGTAAGTGGTCAAAACCCTTCTATATAAACCATTTAAAAACGTTTTTCCAATCCCTGTTTTTAGTGTATTTGTATGTTATATTTTATACACTGCTGTAACCCCCCCCCCCCAGGTCCAAGCCTACTCTTCATCACCTATCCAGAGGCCATAGCCAACATGACAGGATCAACGTTCTTCGCCATCATCTTCTTCGTGATGATGATCACTCTTGGGCTTGACAGCACGGTATGACCACACTTCGGTTGAAGACGTGCCTAACTTGATGTATCAGATTATCTCTAAATTAAGTGATCTCTATTGGTTGTATGTAATCACTCTCATTGACGTGGCCCGCTCTAATTTCTGTCCAAGTTCGGAGGACTGGAGGCTATCATTACGGCTGTGATGGATGAATACCCTGAGTACTTGGCGCACAGACGGGAGCTATTTGTACTGGGCTTGGTCGTTGTGTGCTTTTTGGGCTCCCTCAGCACCCTTACCAATGTAGGTAACATGTAAATAAGAATTTAGCACTTTGAAGACAGACTTTATAACAGGTTAAGAAAATATATTATTTAGGGCACTTGAGGACTAGGATGTGGAAGCTGCTGATGCTACAGTTGTCATTTCAAGATGGCACTGTATACAGGCTAAATAATATAATATAAATTAATAGTATATTAACAATTCATACTACTTTGAGTAACTTGTCTAGAATGATACATTTGCCACACGAGTAACAAGCATGTGTTTCTCTCAGGGTGGGGCCTATGTGGTGAAACTGCTGGAGGAATTTGGGGTGGGTTCCTCCATCATTGCTGTTGGTTTTCTTGAGGCCATCGCCGTTTCCTGGTTCTATGGTAAGAATGGTGAACTAATGGTGATATTACAGTTTACGCTTCCTATACTCCCTAGTAGTATCTTGCATTAGAAAGACATATTCATTCATACTGCCTCATTTATACTGCAGGTAGCCCAGCATTTAAGAGCGTTGGGCCAGTAACCAAACGGTCGCTGGTTCAAATCCCCGATCCGGTGAAAAATCTGTCGATGTGCCCTTGAGCAAAGCACTTAATCCTAATTTATACTGTAAATTTCTCTGGATAAGAGTGTCTGCTAAAATGACTTAAATGTAAATTCATGTTTTGTTGTGGTTGTAAAATCTGAAGAAATGCATTATGCATCCTGCTGACAATACATTTTTCAGATTGCACATGACAAAGTTATTTTTAGAGTAATTTTTTCAAGTTCTTATCATAGTGTTGTTGAACCCTCTCTCTTCAATTTTCATTTGTTTCAGGTATCACAAGATTCAGCAATGACATTAAATCCATGTTAGGCTATTATCCGGGATTATTCTGGAAGGTGTGCTGGGTGGCTATCAGTCCTGCATTTCTAGCGGTAAGCACAACCGGAGGGCAAACAACCGATAAGATTTGAAATGATGGAATATATTGTAGAATGAACTACTGGATTCACATTAAAGCAAGCATTGTCATCATACCGTCAGTCTAGACAATTAAAACTGATTTAACATTGTTAGCCATCCATTAGTTCACAAATCTGACCTACAGCTCCCTATCAGTTTTTTGGAAACCTCTCAAAGATCTCAAACATCAAATCTTCCACATGGCCCTTTCTGGTAACCTGCCCTAACCTGCCAATGGACATGGCAGGTTAAATGACATGGGTGGATGGTCAGTGTAGGATCAGATGTGATAACATTTCATTTGGACGTTTGCCAGAGACTGTATGGTAACACTTTGCTTAAAACCTATAGGTATTATGCTTTATAACTTGTAATAAGCATGTATGTATTTATAGTGGCTTAAAATACAGCTTGTAAAATGCTATGTCTCTAAGTACTATCATAATTTCAACTGACTCAAATGGCTGTTATTTAATCAGGCTCATTATGAGATTATTATAATACATTATAATAGGGTCATAAATGCTCATGACAAGTATTACAATGTATTATAACTACACCATAATGCGTTATACCTGCAGAATTTAAGTAAAGTGTTATCGACCATATTTTTCAGCATTGATCCCTTCTCCACCTTCAATTCTTAAATCTGAAGTAGGGGACACACAACTCCCTCCTGCCTCAATGTCTTATTCAAATCTTGTTTTCTCCTGTTCATATTCTACAATACTTTTCCTGTAAATGTCAATTTCATTCACCTGCATAACTTAATATACCTGCCTTCACTTTGCACACATCTCCTCTAATCTCTCTTAGCCTTCCGCTGCTGAAAGAGCTGACATTTTCACCGAGCTAGCTTTCTTTATTATTCCCCCTTTTCTGTATGGGCCAAATTGTTTCTGCCCTCATCTCCCTAGATGGTCTGTGATCATCTCACAAAATAAAGAGTAACATTTCTAGTGGCACAACGGGCATCTAATAGGGTGCATGCCATTGTCACCTGTGAATTCTAATTGAGAAAAATATGAGTGTGGCGTGTGAGACTTGACATTACTGTTTGTCTTTGTTGCTCTGCTTTCACAGTATATAATAGTGAGCTCCCTGCTCAAACCTCCCCCACTCCAACTCTTTGATTACAAATACCCAGACTGGAGCATCACGGTGGGCTACATCATCGGTGCCTCCTCCTTCATGTGGATCCCCATCTATATGGTCTACAAGCTGGTGTGGACCCCCGGATCACTGAAACAGGTCAGGCCCTCTAATGCAGCAATTCTCAAATGGGTTGCGGGAGGTTTTGAATGGGTCGCAGGTGTTTGTTTTCTTACAACAACAAAAAATACTCCTGTCTGAACTTAAACGACTTAAACCAGATAGAAACCGTGTAGAAATCAGTGATGGCTGCTGAGGGGAGGTCAGCTCATAATAAAGGCTGGAATGGAGTGAATGGAATTGCATCAAACACCTGGAAACCATGTGTTTGATGTATTTGATACCATTCCACTGATTCTGCTCCAGCCATTACCATGAGCCCGTCCTCCCCAATTAAGGTGCCACCAACGTCCTGTGGTAGAAATGATAATGAACTTACATTTTAAAATAATTTAATCTCTGAAATAGTTTTTCTTCAATCACAGTATTTTCAATATAGAGCTATTAGCAGCGCCATTTTGGTTGATTTTGTGGTCTCAAACCAGTGAGTTTATTGACATTCTTCATCAAGAATATGGGCAATATTTAATTAGTGACAATGAAAGAGGTGGGAATGTTGTTCCCTTGTCATATAATTGCTACATTTACTACATTACAAATAGTTTCTCAAATTGTATTTTGGCGATTATTGGGTCATGACTGAGACAACCTGGTTCAATTTGGGTCCCGAGAGTAAACCAGTTGAGAAGCACTGCTCTAATGGAATCTACAAGACTTGACACAGTCTGGTGTTGTATGTTCAGTCATGCACTGTGCTGGCTATTGACAAGACATGGATGTGTAGTGTGTGGTCAGTGTAAAAAAAAGCAGCATATATCTCATATATACAGAATCGATATGTGATAAGTGGATGACAAATGGTTTAATTAACCATACTCTCTTGTTCCCCCATCCTTGGTGTCTATCCATTGTTGTCCCCAGCGCCTTGCTGTGTGTCTGAGACCTGAGAGGACCATTATGCCAGAGATCCACGCAGACTCCCTCAACATGAGTCCTGTTCCATAGAAGCACCCACGTTGCCAAGAACTCAGCCAGGCACATTATGTTGCTACCAACAGACTCCTGAACGAGAACCAACTCAGCAGACACAGATCAATCTCATGGAGCGTTCGACTAATCCTTTTTTTGTAGCTCAATGAGTACAATAAACACAAATTGTCTGTTAGTACATATGTAGATGCTCTACAGACTATCTACAGACTATCAGTAACATTTCAACTATCTATCTACTAATCCTAACCCTAACACTAATCTTAACCCTTATCCTAACCCTAAAACCTAGCCCTAACACCTTCAGCCTTACCTTAACCCTTATTCTAAACCTTACCCTAACCATAACCTTAGCAAGCAGTTGCTTATCAACAGACAGTTGCTTATCAACAGATAGTTTGTTGATAGTATGGCTATCCAAATAAAGTGTAACAGGGGACTTTAATGTAAAGAGAAAAAAATGAAATATTAATGAATATTCAGTCTGAAAGCGTCCTTCAAATACAGTCAGTTTATTTTGGACAGAAAAATGAAGATCCCAAGACAGGTTTCTACAGCTTGAGAAAACCACACAATCACAAAGATCATCTTACTAAGAGTATCTTAATAAGATAAGGTTGTAAGACTGAAGGACACAATGCAGTCACTTCTCATCAATTACTTATTTCTGCTAGGTTATTATTAAGAGTTCAAAACATGACCCAGTCACATTAAATTACCGTTGTATTTTTTTTTTTTTATGGTGTAACCTTTTAAGCAACCACAGCTTTGGAAAATATCTCATCAACATCCCAAAACATAAAATGCAGCGCATATTTTTTAAGAGAAGTATCTTGTGTGTTGAAGTATTAGTTCAATAAGATTAATAACCAGAACATATTTATTAATATACATGTCAATAACTGGTTTTCATACAAAGTATAGAAGATAATGTAATTTGTTATGTGTGATAAGTAAAACAAGTTATACTGTGTGGCTGATGAATGGTTGATGTCTTAAACATTTTTTCAGTGGATTTTAATCAACAATAGTTCCTCACCAACATGCAAGTTAAAAGGATTAGGCCTACCTCAAAGAATGCAGTTAGCAGATGAGACCAAATAAGCTGCTAAAAGTATTTCCTTTTGGCTATGCTTTATTTCATAGTCCTTTATTTACTTGGAATTTACTTGGAAATTAAGGTGAAATGGTAATTACATAATTATTGTTATGTATTTGGTTTCTGGGCCTTACCCAATTGTTTTGAACCAGTTGGTACCCATTTTTACCAGTTTCTTAGTAAATACCAGTTGCAAAGGGACTACAAAATAGTGTTCACTTATTTCCTCCCAAGTGTTTGTTGTTGGGATTAACAACTTCTAGTGTTTTCTGCCTTAAATCTGCCTAAAAATTGTAGATAGGTCAAAGCATTATATAATATGTATTGATATTGTGACTCTCCAGACAAACCAACAACAAAAAAATATTTTTTTGTCTCTCTATTTGATAAGACTGTTTGAACTGTTACTCAATCTCAAATTAAATCAAATGTTTTTTTTTTTTTTATCAAAGCCTATCAGAGATTGTAACATGTTTCCATTTATTCTCAACCTTAGTTTCATTTATCTCCAGAGAATAATGTGATGAGCCGTTTTAATTATGCTATATAATATTTGGAACGTTTTGTGATTTCGGTCCATCTTTCTAAATAGAAAAGGAAGCAGGTCCCTGTATTTGTAGAATGTGACGGCAACTTTCTCGTATACATGTAATGAGAAGTAAAAAAAAAAGAATAAACATATAAACATATGTATTACATCCTTGTGTTTTTATCCTTCTTCTTCTTCTTCTTCTTCTTCTTCTTCTTATCATTATTATATATTGTAATTATTCATTTTTATAACAACAAAACCATCTTAATAATGTGCCACATTTCAATGAACCTTATTTGCCATTGATTTGATTGCTTGCTGCTGTTCAACTTACTGAAACAGTAAATGTAAGTAAACTGTTCAGAGCTGAACGTGTGCGGAAGCCGGGATGTCCATTATTGATAGCTGTCCCTCTCATGTCATTGTGGTAGCCGTCGCTGTACACCCCTAATCAACGATTCTAATTAAAAGCCTGATTTGCAATATCCAGAAATCATCAACATACAACGAAATAGAACAGCTTCAAATGGTTTTAATGAAATGTTTTATTAAACATTAAACACACACACACACACACAGCCCTGCTAAGCATGGCTTGATCGCGTCAAGGACCTCTGGTATGAGGAGAACAGAATATCAATGGGTTTACACAATTCCTCATTTGGGTATTTCTACATAGGGGAGCTGAGCGCCACACATCAAAGCCCCTTTGTGTGGGCCGTTGGAGTAGAGTTGTCTCTCAAACAGACCTGCAGAAGAGACACATGAAAGGAGCGCTGGCTCAATGGCTGCTCCTATATTACCATCTGCTTATTACTTCACTGTGTGAAGAAACACTGCAGAGAAATGTAAGGACTACACTGTCACCAGAGGATCTACACAGCTTGCCATAATGTTAGACAAAAGGCAGACACCCTCAGTGTATAACATATAACATGAAGGGGAATATTTTGTCTCTTGTCATTTTCAGATCAGGGATTCGATCTTGGAATTCAAAGTAGCAACCCTCTGATTGCAGGCCTGCCTTTCTAACCTCTAGGCTAACCCTATACAATCTGTCATGTTTCATTTCAAAGGTATCAATCAATATGAGGCACAAGTACAGAGTAGATTAACCATCTGGTGTTTAGGGAAGAAGAGAGATACAACGTTAACCTGAGATCTAAGTTCATGTTCCAAAGATAGAAAAATAACAACATTAAAGACAAAAACAGAGCTTGGACAATTGATGGAACCTACTACATGTGCCTGTGATTGCTTACAAATGGATCATTTGGTCCAGAGCCTGATTGCATGCCTTCTCATCGGTCAAACCTCCTAAGCAACAATAAACAACATAGAGAGGGAGGGAGCGCGAGAGAGAGAGAGCAAGCAAGCATAATGTATAATTGCCACAATCACCCATCCTTGCAAAATGTAACATCAACCCACTAACTCGTTGGCCTCTGAACAATATCTTCTCCCTCCCATCTTACCCCTAGCACAAAATCACTGGTGGAGAAGTCTAGTTCCACAGTGCTTCGTTACAGTTTCCTACAGTTTCCTTGTTGCAGTGATGATTTATGGGGCCAGGAAGCCTCCAAATTTATTTCCAGCCCTATATGGTAGAGAGACACTTTTCAGAAACACATTACGCTTCTGGCGCTCATTACAAGAAAATAGTGTTTGTATTAGTACTGGTGAATGTGCTTTACTCGTGGCAACAGATGATGAGGTAAAGGCCAAATACATCAGTCATGCACAGTAATGATGTAAGTCTCTATAACCCCGAGCATCTTAACCTTTATAACTTTACCCCATTGCTCTTTGACATTTCAGCAATGTAGGGAATGTAATGATGGGGGCCCACACTTATATATGCATTATAAGAACTGAATTGGTTTCTTTCTTTACCAGATGTTTATTATGCTATAGAATTCCTAATATAAGAGAACAGAGATAACCCTCCTCTACACAATTTCCTATTCAGTACCAGTTAAAATCACAATGAAGTTAAAAAACATATTATCCGCAAGTCACACTGTAGGCCTAATTAAATAAGTAACTGAATACAATCACTGGACTAGATGATACTGAGCGATAGATAGGCTATGAAACTGAAATACTGTGGAGTACAGACTGTTTATTTTAGTCCTACCTGGCGGCTTTAGGACCCAGTGTAGGCTAATGTGATATCACGAGAGCTTCGCGAGACTTCCGGGAACGCTTGCGAATCAAACTCTGCAGACCCATCTCAATGGGTAGACCAGTTCGGAGTTTGGGGTTTGAGAAGTGAAACGTTCTTCCTTGGTTGTTCATTTTCTCAAAATCTAAAGGCACAACCTAGATTCGTTGTTTTAAGTAGCTGATCATGTTATTACTCCAACCTTGTGAAAGTGATAAACTGACACGTATTCATTTTCGTGAAAAACTTTATATCAAAGTAGTACCTTTGATTTGACGGTCTGCACATACGCGCATGATTTTAGCTAGCCAACGTCACCATGACGTCAACTACAAGCGTGATCAGGGATTTTCTATTGGAGAAGCCGTTTCTGTCTATCTTCATACAGTACTGTCTTTGCTATTATTCTATATGCTGGGAAAGTGGAAGCATATTTTCCCACTCGCGTGATCATGTTGTATCCTAGTCGACAAAGCCTTATTCTGTATTGTCTATCCTTTGGCGTGTTTGTGAACGGGAACGGACAACTAGGTGACTCTAAACTAAATGAAAGGCCGTATGTGGTCCTACAGAATCAAAATTTGGGTAAGGTTTTATGCGGTTTAATGTGTAGTCTATTGTAGGCCCGTGTTCCTAGACAACAGCGACCTGCCGTATTGTTGTCCAACGAATGACAATAAAATAAGAACGTAGGCTTATCTTCTAAATAACGTGTGTAGACGTATGCACCTTTTATTTTGTTATTTTAATGTTAATTGTAGCCTATTAGTGCCATGTTTTTTTTCTGCAATGACCTCCTAACCTGTAGTTGCAATGTGTTCTCGTGAGAGGGCGGAGCCCGCAACGAATGGTCAAAAATCTATTTCATTTATGTGCTTGTAACATTGTATTTTTTTCTATTGCAGTTGTACTTATTAGCGTCTTATCTATCCTGCTGGTGGTGATGATTGTCATGGCAGTTTGTGTGTATAAACCATTGCATCGCCGGTGAAGCAGTGTACAGCGACGTCATGCGCAGCTACTGTCAGACTGGATCCAAGGGAATAAATAATCAAGGGAATCAACAATCAAAAAGCCATTGTCTACGCATATCTGTCTGATGTGATAAACTGGAATGTTAGACATTAGCCACGGGGTCTCTCATTTTTATATAAACCTTATTCATTTGAGTTTTTTTCTCTCCAGTATAGACTACACTGGTTGAATTAATGTTGTTTCCA